CAGAACAGGAGAGGAGAAGAGAAGCATCACGCTGCAACGTGTAGGGACCTGGGGACGTTACACCAAGTGAAGGAAACCAGGCACTCAAAGACAAATATGCTTGATTCTGTTCATGTGAAATATTCAGAACTGGCAAATCCATACACAGAAAGCAGATTGGTGGTCACCAGGCCCGGGGGAAGCAGGGAATAGGGACAACTGCTTAATGGGGGATGGGTTTCCTTTTAGGGTAATGATGATGGTGACTCGTACAATCACACATTGTGAGCATGTCAAATGCCACGTTACTTTAAAATGGTTAATTGTAAATGAATCTCACCTCAATTTAAAAAAGAAATAGCAGAGGAAAGGGTAAAACAAGATTTGACCAGAGAAAGAAAGTAACTGCTTCCCTTAGAAAATGAAAGGGTTCTTTGTCCCCTTGTTAATGCATGCCAGGGATTGGAGGATCCCACAGGCCTAAGGGGAGGTGGCAGTATTCACAGAGCCGGAGGAGGGGCTTTCAGCCTTTTCTGTCCAGAGCACTGCACAGCCAGGGGCTGAGACAGAGGGCTGTGGAGTCAGACAAGGCCTTGCCAACCCCCAGCTCTATTATTAACAGTTACTGGCTGAGGCTTTGGGGGTAATTCCTTTGACTCCTTTATCTGCTTTGTTTTCATTAAATATTAAATAGATACAAACATGTCCTGACTTTCTACTTCAGAAAAGGAATATTATCATTTCCTTTAAACTTCCTTGTTCGCTTTTCCCTTTTCAGAATTAAATCATTTGTAATCATTTCTTACTATTCTTTATAGTATTAAAATTATGTATTTGTGCTCCTAATTAGTATATCTAGTACTTGGTTTTGCATATTTTTGAACTTTATTTTGTATTATTATTATTTTTTTTTTTTTTGCAGTTTCTGGCAGGGGCTGGGTCTGAACCCACCACCTCCGGCATATGTGGCCGGCTCCCTACTCCTTTGAGCCACAGGCGCCGCCCCATATTTTTGAACTTTCAGGGAATGAACTTATACTTCATAATTCTTCTTCTCCAGCTTGCTATTTTTTTCAACTTACTTTGGTTCCACTCAACATTATATTTCTGAGATTCCATCACACTGTGACTGCCATTCATTTGTTTTCCCTGTTGTAGGATATTCTGAGAGAACATCTCATAATGTATTTATCCATTCTGTTGCTGGTGGACGTTTAAATAGTTTCTATGTTTTGCCGTTACAAACGGTGCTGTGATGAAGGCTCAAGTACATATATCCATCCCTGTGCACGCGTGTTAGGGGTTTTCTAGGTACAGACACAGCAGGGAATTCCTTAGGCAAAGGTCTGTATTTTCATGTTGCCAGGGTTCTGTTTGTTTCTCCTCATCCGGCTTCTCTTCTCTCAGCTCTGATCATAGGTATGCCCGGCCACCTGTTCCCCTTTGCTGGTGACTCTAACAAACCAAGTCCAGGAGTGATACCTGCTCAGGGGTAGGGAGTCCTGAGTTAAGTTTTGGACCCCACTGAGGTTCTTCCAGCCCAGCAGTAGTGGTGAGGACTCAGTTGCGTGGTCTTGGGGTCCAGACACAACTCTGGAGTCTAGGGAGTAGAGTTGTGGGCCTGGCAGGGGACCTGGAGCTGCAGGGTCAGACTTGTCATAGTGAGAGCTTCAGAGCTGGTTCTGGGGATTTCAGGGGCAAAGCCACCCATGGTGGGAAGACTGTTCCACGGGCATGGGGACTGCTGATACCCAGTCGCACAGGCAGAGTTTCTCTCAGCAGCCCAGATTTCACACAGGTGGGCCAGAGCTGCTGGTTGGCTAAGGTTTCCCCCCACACCTAGGACACACTGAGGCAGTTGCCCAAGGCTTCCCAAGTGATGCCTGTGTCATCTGAGGCTCCCCCTCTGTTCACACTGGGGAGGAGGCATGGTCAACCCCTAGTCACAGGGGTCAACACAGGGGAGCATCTGTTCCCTCCCTGGCCTGGCAGAGGTGACGCTAAGGTTATTGCTGGGTCCCAAGTGCACCTGGCTTCATGCCCAGAGTGATCAGGATATTGTCAGTTACAGAAATCTGGTACTGACAGGTACCAGATCTCTGCTGAATGTGCAGTCCGGTGGATTGTCTCTGCATAGACTCTGAGAAGCTCCCCCAATCGACCTGGAGGTCTGCAATGGAAGTGGGGTCTCCTCACAGCTCAAGCTGCCCATTATTGTTGTTTCTCTCCTAAGTGTCCCCCCAGGTTGCCTCTATCCTGCCATCTTCACTTCTTCCCAGCAGTGTGACTAATCTCCAAATGGCAGGTGGTACTTGTGAGTAAGAATCAGTCTCCCTGTCTGAGTTGCAAGATGCTGTGATGAGTTACAGAGTTGTTCTCCCTGTTAGCAGGTGACACTTGCACGAAAGGGCCATCTATGGAGATGTTCTTCTGTTCCCGTACCAGCTTCCTTGTCACTCAAGTCCCGCCCTCAACCTCCACCCCCTGCCACATGCCTGTCTGACTTGCTGGCATGTCTCTGAAAAATCCTGGCAGGCACAGAACTCCCAGATCAGGCACCTGGGGCTGCTGCAGGCACCCAGCGGGTGCAAGAGCTTCCACCATGGAAACCTCAGCCTGTAGCACACGCCCTCTGGGGAGAGGTGGCCGTTCATCAAATTCTTGGCTTTCCTGATTGCAGTGAATTAGGGAGGAGCAGGAAAGGAAAAGTGTCTGAATGGCCTCTCAGGTCACTCTTTCTTTGAAGAGAATCCCACACAGAATGTTTAAGCTCTGAGATCAGGCAAGTTCTCCCTACTAGCCTAGGCTTGCTTCCATGCCTGGACTCACAGGGGTGGAAACTCCACAAAGAAACCTGTTAGCCCTCTGGTCACTGCAGGTGCATGGGAGAGAGAGGGATTCCCTCTTATCCTTTCACTGGACTCGAAGCCTCTCTGCGTTTGATACTTGGCAATATCTCTTTTTCTTTATCTTATTCCTTCTCTGCTTCACAATTTTCCTCTGGACAAATCCCAGCAGGGTCTGAGATCTCTGTCTATGATCTACACCTGAGCTGTCTCCTCCTCCCTCTCCTCTGTTTGAAATCCTGCCTCCCCTCTAGTCCAGCAAACATCTCTAGTTCAGCTCTCTAGGTTATCTTTTTTTAGCATATTGAAGATATAATTCTATAGCTTTTTACAGCTTCCATATTTTCTATCGAGAAGTAAGAGTGCTTTCAAAACTATTCAGTCAATTGTGTTCTTCAGTGTCACTAAGGTGTTTTAAGAATGAGTTTTTCTTTGATTTATGCTAACTAGTTCTTGGATTTGTGGACTGATGTCTTTTAACAGTTCTAGAAAATTCTCATCCATCAAATATTCAAATGTTGCCTCTTCTTTTTTTATACTTTTTTCCTGAAAATCAAGTTAGTTATAAACCAGACCTTATCACTCTATTCTTCATGTCTTTTAACCTTTCATATTTGTTCTTTGTCTTTATGTTACATTCTAGATCA